TCTAATCTAATCTAATCTAATCTAATCTAATCTAATCTAATCTAATCTAATCTAATCTAATCTAAGCTAAGCTATTCTATTATAATATATTATCATTTCATCTCAACCTACTTCTTATAGCCTAATTTGGTCCATTTATGCATCTCATGCTTCGGTTTGACATTCTATGCCTTATGAAGAGAGCTGGGCTTTCTATGCTTTGCCTAAATATTTGCTCAAAACTTAAGTGAATTGGCTGCAAATGAAGCTTGAAACAGATGCAATTGTTTTTGGTATATAAGCTGAATTTCGGACTACCAGTAAATCAGTTATATGAGGTGTATTCACCCCATTTCGTTTAAGATTATGAAGGACTGATACAATTGTGACCGAACAACTGCATTCTCCCCTAAAGCACTCATATCTTTGATGCTGCAATATTACCGCAAGTGAATGTGTTCCAGTGCATGTGTGATGTGTGAATGCACTGCTCTTGAAGTGAGTGTGATGTGAGAGTCAAAATCAGATTCGAGCCTAATAAAGCTTCCTCCTCCTCTTTCTCGGCGGTACTTCTCGTTCCCCCCTCTCTCTCTTTCATCCGATCCAACAGCCACAAGTGGATTCCACTTAACTTCCTACGCTCATTCCCATTCAGGCTGTTGCCTGTTTTGTTAATTTCTTTGGCTTACTGCTTGATATAGTCCCGATATCCAGCCAAGCGTTTGGCCGTAGACCAATCTATCTGGTGTCCTGTGCGAGCCATGTGTCCGGCCAACTCCGATTTCTGGGTTCACACACATTTACAAGCTGTCTTGTGTTCAGATAACCTCTCATGTATGGGCTTACAGGCCTCTCCCACATGGGCGCCACCACATGAACACAAAATCCTGTATCAGTCCGATCTGGAGAGCGGGTCAGAGTATTCTTGAAAGGAAGGCAATATCGAGCACAGTGTTGTTTCCTCTTTTTAAATGCTCCTGATATCCCACCTCCTCAATAATTCGCCTATCTTCTTCTGAAGATTACACGATGGCAGCATAAGGATTCTGGTAGAGTGGTCTAACTCTTTATCAAGCCCCAAATATCTATTTCTCTCCACCCTATTAGACAATATTCTAAAATAATTGTCACCCAGTCCTCGTGGATAATTATTTTCAACCCGTGTTCTCCTTCCAGACGCACAATCCTTAGTATCATAGATTTCATAAATCATACTTTAACCACATAAGTGCAATTGGAAAATAAATTCAAAAGGGAGCCTGCATTTGTGAGTTTCCTACACATATCTACCAAGTCTGGTCCCCTCTTTGCTAACTAATACATCAAGAAAAGGTAATCCACCTTCCTTTTCAAACTCGATGATTAATTTCGTCTTCCCATCGAGCCTATTCATTAAACCAAGAAAATTCTCTAGGTTTTCCTAGTCACGTTGCCAAATAGCAAATACATAACGAACTGATAATTTAGGAACCAAAAGTTCCTCAAATTGAATAATGTAATTATTTGCTAAAATTGGTGACAAACATAATCCCATAGCTAAACCTGATGTTTGTTTGTACAGTTTACCATATAATACAGACTATGTACAGTGCATCGCTGGGTTGGTCAGTATCATTATTGACCCTTTACTTAACTTCGTTCTCAGTGAGATTTCCGAGTGTTGGCCTAGTGTGGATTGTAGGGCCTATATAGCATCGGCTACAGGAATTCTAGTGTACATAAACTCAACATGAAACCTTATCAGCAAATCCCCCCTTTACATCTCCTTCTAGTTGATAAGTTAACGAATTCAACGGAATTCTAAACTAAAACCCTCCACGTCTCGAAGAATTGATTTAATTGGTTACAAATAATCGTAATGTTTTATGCATGATTCTTCATATATTATTCACAATAATTCAAAGTGGTCCTCCATCTTTATGTATTTTGGGTAGACCATAACCTCAGCCCTACTCATATCATTGTGGGAAAATTTAACTTTAAACGAAATAAGGTGAGCATATCTCATATATCTGATTTACTGATAGTCTCGAAACCTACTCAATAACGAAAAAAGCATAGGATATCCAACCAAAACATAAGAGGCATAAGTAGACAAAATTGGACTATAAGAAGTAGGTAGGTTTGAAGACGGCCGCCTTTGTTGTCTTTATGTCTTTCGTGAAGTACCTTTAAGCATGGTGTCCTAACTTGTCGACGCACGACATATGACGGACGAAAGCTCAGCATGGATTGATCGGGGTCGCATGGCAGTGTGCCGAATCTACAATCACGGCTTCCGATGGAACCAACCTACGAATCTCTTCTACTCGCTTCTTCAAACATAATGAAAATTACTCCAACACAATGCTTCTAATCTAATCTATTCTATTATATTATATTCTAAGCTATTCTATTCTATTTTATTATATGCTATTCTATTCTATTCTATGCTATTCTAATCTATTCTATTCTATGCTAGTATATTCTATTATATGCTATTCTATTCTATTTAATTCTATGCTATTATATTCTATTCTATGCTATTCTATTCTATCCTATTTTATGCTATCCTATTCTATGCTATTATATTCAATTCTATGAAATTCTAAGCTATTCTATTCTATGCTATTATATTCTATTCTAAGCTATTCTATGAAATTCTATGCTATTATTTTCTATTCTATTCTATGCTATTATATTATATTTTATTCTATGCTATTCTAACCTATTATATTCTATGCTATTATATTCTATTCAATGCTATTCTATTCTTTTCTATGATATACTATGCCATTCTATTCTATGCTATTCAATGCTATTCTATGCTATTTAATTCTATTCAATGCTATTCAAAGCTATTCTATTCTAGTCTATGCTATTCTATTCTAATCTATTATATTATATTCCGTTCCTAAACGCAACGCTTTGCGCCAGATTGAATTTTTATGAAGCTACTGTCAGCTGCCAGCCATAGACCCTGGTCAGAATGTACGAAACAAATTGAGGATGAGCAGGATTTTCAGCTATGGGTAATTCTTGGATGAGAATATGGTAAATCTCAGTCGAGTAAGTTGATCAGAAAATTGATAGTGAAGTAGAGTGATTAATTTCTCATTCGAGACCTACCGTTTTGAAAACTACTATAAACGAATATAAGTAACGTCATCGATATAAATGAAAAATACTAGTTTGCCTTATCGACACCTCCACAAGAGATATGATTTGGGAGGGCTCTGGCATACGTTGAAAATCACATTTGCTGTCTGACCCATGTGATGCCATGGTAACCTGTAGCAGAACGGTAACATTTCGACACCTTATGCGCACGATTCTTTTCCAAATCAGGTTGAAGCGAGGTCAAAATTGCGATATAGGCAGAATCAGAACTCTTTTTGGGCGGCATGGCTTTGTGAACTTCAATGACTTCGGTAGGGTTACACATAAAGTTGTAAGTAAAAACTTAATTTTCACTTCTTAACTCACCTAGACTGACAAATATCTTACTCAAGAATCACTAACGGTCGCAAAAAGAGTTATCATCTAAAACACTACTCATCTATATTTGGCACTGTTGAACAGGTAATCGTGGTGACTCAATTTGACAATTTTCTAGTTTTGTTATTTCTGGCCAACATGACGATTATTCAAACAGGCCGATTTGGTGCTAGTGCTCAACGGTGACATTACTTTTTCGACTTAAGCCCGGTCAGTCAATCTGGTGACTGGGACGAAGTGGGCTCATCGTTCAAGGCCTCATTTGAGCAGCTTACTCAACCAGAAGCGACGAAAAGTCGAGTATTCGAGTGATTTTGTATCAATGCAACGATAAAGTTTGCATCATTCTGTATTCACCTGAAATGACTTCTCGTCATCCAGCCCAGCCGGGCAATCAGTGCAGCACGACGTTCCTTCCGACCGCACTGTCCGCAGATTCGATTCGCAATCTTCCACGGCCTCGCCGATGACACGCGTTGTCGTCGACGCCCCGCGGGACCGCCTCTTTCATGCGTCATCCCAGCCGCCGTCGCATGTCGAGAGGCTGCACTCGACCACAGCGTCTCCGGAGGATTAGGACCATCTGAAGTCGCAATGACCTCGCATACCGGCAGGTTGGTTTGAGAGGCTGGCAACGAGGTGGACAAAGCTG